CCACATGCAAGGTGTTCATCAGCATATCGATTTATCTTATCGTGAAGGAATGCCTGGAATTTTGATCTTCCCTTTCTTCCTTCCGCTTGCTAAAAAAGAAACAAATACTCCTTTGACAATTTTACCTCCCCCTTGACAATCCTCCCAGCTATGGAGTCACAAGAAGTGCCATTGAGCGGCTTGTAGAGAAAGAGCACGCCTTTCCTGACCTGATTCTAGTTTCTGCCCCTCCAGATACTTGACTGTCTCTTCATCCTGCATAATATTTGAAGTGGTTAGGATATTAGCGATAGGCCTTTATAACTCCGTATAGGTATAACTCTGTATAGGTATAACTCTGTAAAGGTATAGTTGTGATCCATTCAGACTTTTACCTCTATCTGCGTTGTAAAACCAGCTAGGAATTCCTACAAAAGCATCTTAGAAAACTGGGAGCAGGGCATTACCCTCATAGGACAGAACAGAACTAATTGCAGTGACTTAAGCTTTACATATATGAAAGGTAAGCAAAGTAAGTAAAAAGCAGCAGGATGTACATAGTTCAAAACAAAAGCAAAAAAAAAAACATGCATTGACATTGGAAACTGTATACTTGTGCATAGCCCTCACCATGGGCATCGGAAAGAAGAAAGAGACTTTTCTGTGAATATCTTCATTAATATCTCTGACTGTGAGCAGGCTGATCAGTATGCTGAAGTAGTTACACTGCAACCAGCACCTGGTCTAGTTTAAAAACTAGCTCTAATGTGTCAACACTATGCTACAAGCACATCGCATGTTAGAGGAGAGAGACTGGCTGAAAAGAGAAGATGAGCTATTAATATTTACAGAAAGCTATTTGTCATATCAAGAGTAAGTTGCTTGACAGTAACAGAGAAAACACAGTCATCAAAGCTGGATTTAGCAACTCATACTTGTTAATGAGCGCTATTAGCAAATTGGATTACATCAGATGGATTACAGCTCTGGAGAAACCACCACACGTTTTCACAACTTCATAGCAGATCAGTATATAACTGTATTTTAAGAAGAGCCAGCCAGAAATCTAAGTTGCCTTGCCTGGAAAATACAAAGCATCTTGCACAGTTTCGATGCAAATATGTCTCAGTCACCTGTGGTTCTGTACAGCAACATTCATTTTATTAAAACTTTATTAGTATTCAAGTCATATAGATTAATATTCTGCCTTTTTAAAGCAGCTGTTTAATAAAAGTCATGAACCCTCCCAAGCAAGCTTTCAGCTATCCTATGTTTATTCACACAATGGGACTGCACATAGATCCTGAGAAAGACAGTCACATGCTTTGCTGCTTTGTTTCTACATTTTCTAAATACGTGTTTGTCGCCTGTATGTCCTGGTGACCGACACCTTACTGAAGTCACTGCAGAAATGAAGCAGTTTGCTCTCGTTGCCCTGCTCCTTCAGCGGAGATCATGAAGTCAAGAGCTCAATCTAGAACACTCCAAAGCTTTGAGCTCCCTCTGCTGCATCTGGGACAGAATCGTCCTGCCCTAAGAAACCTATAAATTATTTGGTTAGTAACAGAATCATTCTTAGCACTTAATTTCTGGGAAACCTCCACTGAAATCTGAGCTGGTCTAATAAATCATTTCTATTAAATTTTATTCTGATGTGGAGCAGTTGTGATCTGTTGACCCTGGCAAACACTTCCTTCACTAAACTCCTGTGAACTGCCATCAGAGGAAGTAACTGGAGGAAAGCAAGTTGCTTCGGTATTTTGATCTGTGAATGTGTCAAAGTAGAGTTAATAGGTCAGATGCAGACATAATAAAAGGGATTACTAAATCACTATGCCAGACATTAGAAGTAAGTTTAAAAGCATTTAAGTGATGATTTATATTGTAATTATATGGTGATTTATATCTTTTAGTTCCATATTTGTTATTAATTCAGACTCTTTTAGAATTACACTGATGTATGGAATTGCCATCACCCCTCCTCATACATCAGTGCTGAATTTGGCCACTGAGTTTATAAGAACCTATTAAAACCTAAGTTTAGGTTGGTTTCAATTGCATGTCAAGGGAGCCAGAGTAAGGGTAGGAACGATGCTGATTTAGACTTCCTTCCTGTAGACTTGTCTCTGAAATTAGCCAGCTGACATCACCAGGCACAAACCATACACCATGCACACACTGTTTTGTAGACTCTTCTTGCTTTGTGAGATTAAAATGAGATGTTAATTAACTGGATTTTATACTTCTTATATTGTTACTATGGCTTATATTTGCATTCTAAATTAATCTGCACATAGCAAATACATTCCTCTTTGGCATCGCACTATCCCTGTTTATCAATGTTCTTTCTTCTGATTAAAGTATCTTCAGGACTACGGAAAGAAAATACTTTCAGCTCTTCACACAGGTGCATCTCATCCCAGCTCAGGTGCTCAGTGCCAATTCCTCTCTCTGTCGACTTTCACACCTTCTCCATGTGACTCTGCAATAGGTTAATTCCCTCCAATGGGAATTGTAGCATTTAGGGACTCCATAGAATCTCTCTTTCAAACAGGTTTAATATTTCATCTTAAAGACTGGGAGTAATATGCACTTTAGATACCTCTTAAGATCTGTGTGATTAGATGACCTGTTATCTTTCCTGTGTGAGGAACATAAGGGGAAAAAAAGGAAGCTGATGGAAGCCCCATTGTTCATTGTGAATTTTGGGACTAGTTAGTTCAAATCAAAGAAAGCATTGCTAATGCTGTGGTAGAGGAAACGATTTTAAGGGAATGCTTCTTTGGAGGAGACAAGGTTGTCCAGTGCTCATATAACCTGGGAGGACTACATGGGAAACTAATCTTGTATTTAGTATGAAATGCGTATTTTCTCATATCACTGTGGCCACTGTTCTGGATGTAGAGATTGGTGTGTAGTTAGCCCTAGATGCTGGCTTTCTTGACCATGCACAAGACTGGCTCTGTGTAATAGACTGAAACAGGACGCTGAAAATGTAGCAATTCTGTCTAAACAGAACTTGTGCTTGTGGGAGTTTTATAAATGTTTTGGGAGTAGGAGTTGTTCTTCAAGTTGGAATGTGAGACTGGAGAAGGAGGAGATCTGGAAAATGATAACTCTTAAGTCTGTGTATCTGAGACTGTAATCTCTTTATGGCAAGGACCACTGTTCTGTTTGTGGGTTGCAACAAAAATAATTAAAGGACGTACTGGAAACAATTTAGTAATGGGGGTAGCTTGGGATATCAACATGCCAGCGTTCACTGAAGGAACAAGGAAAGTCCTGAACTATCCATACAACCCGTGAAGCAAACCATTACGGTTGTTCTGAATTTTGAAGACCTACAAAACAATGAGATGAACTTGAATTTTCACATTTAAAAGTTCACAACCTTTCACCTTGTATAAAAATTGGCTTTAAAATAGAGGGACTTCAAGTTTGCCCTTTGTCTTCTCTTTTAAAGGTCACATCAAGATTAATCTTTGTGAGCAATAAAGGCCACGCTATAGGTCCCACGTTTCTAGAGAAAGGCTTGAGTCTCTGTGGCAGGGGAGGCAGGGCAGGGAGGGCGGGGTGGCTTTGCTGGGCAGCCGCAGGGAACACAGGAGGGGAGCAACAGCAACTCTTCTGAGAGTGGGGCTCTGGTGCTGTTATTTCTTGCTCTTTGTCAAGTCGTTTCATCATTGTATTTCTGTCGCCTTTTCTCCTTTTGCAAAAAAAAAAAGTGACCCTTATAAATGCTAGGTGCTAGGTAAAACATTAACAAGTGATGAACCCCACGAGAAAGCTAGTAATTCTGTATGATATGGGGGACCTAGAGATTCCCCAGCTTAGGCACAGACACACCACCATCACTGAGACTCAGCCCAAGCTGAGAGGCAGGGACCTGCCTC